CTTTCAGAACTTATATATATAAATAAAATTTATATATATAATTTTTATTGAGAATTGTTTACAGAATTAAAAACTACAGAAACATAAAGAATTAGAAAAAAGAAAAAGATATGAAAAGATAGAGAAAAGCAGTAAAAGTCGAGAAGAAAAAGAAAAGAAAAAATCTAAAGAAATGACTTCTGATCTTCTTTACAGCAAAAATAATTATTACCTTTTCCTCCCAAATTATATATCATGGTTCCCTTCTTCCCATAAACAACCCTTTTTAATCAGTAAATCCCGAAATCATTGGTTCACTTTTGTCCATTTTCAGCAAAAAGTTCATAAAGGGTTTCCAGGCTTTTATAAAAGTAATTGTTCCTTCACTAATCAAACAAGTGAATTTGGCTGTTTCAGCACGTTCTGCCATCTTCACAATCTACTCTAACGTGGGTATTTCTATATTTTTCCATCTTTGTGGATATAATAGCTTCATTGCAATTACCATATATAAAATCAATCGTCCATAAATCTTTTCAAGTTGACTATAAGTCCTAGTAAAAAAGTTCTGGTTTCAACTGAAAGTTCAATATATTTGTGACCGATATTTTTTTCACTTTTTCGTAAGTCCACCATGCATGGTAAAATGTCCCCTCATGCTTTTCACATTTCCAGCATCAGTCAGAAGTCCCTTTATATGTACTTACTATACTATACACTATCTCTGGTGATAAATACCAATGATACATTATTTTATAGAAATTATCTTTTAAATTGTAAGACAATGTAAATTTCAATCCTTTAGCCACATTCTTTCCCATTGATCGAATTGTACATTGTAACCAAAATTCTTAGCTCATTTTATCATGCACTCTTTAATTTGTTCTTCCATTTCAAATCTCAGTAGTTTATACATTTTAGAAATAATATGATCATCATTTGTACATAATTCTCTTTCAAGTTCTGTTACATATTGTTCTATACCTGGTGACTTTCTGTCCATATTAAACCTCTCCGTTAATTGTTCATATGAAAACCATTGAAAAGTAAATCCTTCCACAGTCAGTTGTTCTCTTGATTTCATCTTAAGTTCAAAACTGATTTTATATTCTTTGTAAGAATGGCTTCTTTATTAACTTCCAATGAAAATATGTGCTGAGTTCCACTAGTTTCATGAAAACATCTTTTGTCTTTTCTATAAAGCCTAGCTGTGCATTTCCTGTTTGCCATGACACTGAAGAACGATGCAGATTAGTACTCAGCTATGTTCTTGAAGTAAGTTATGTAATAGAGAATCATGTTTGTTCAACAGTTTTTTAATGTGTACCTGTTAATAGAATATTGAAAAGTATTTTTCTTTAAAAAAAATAGGGCTTAAAATCAGTTGACACTAGCATCAAGAAAGAAAGTGATCTACCTGCAGCAGACCCCAATATACCTATCCCTTTAAAATATGAAGATGAATCATCAACTGTTGGTCCTGAGTGTCTTGAAAAACAGATGGCCTTGTTTTTAGGCAAGAGTAAGTTTGGATTGTTGCATCCTAAATGGCTTTTCATAGATGGTAAACCTCTTTGTCAAGAAAGTCTTTAATGCTAAACATTGCTTTCTTTTTAAAGTGATTACGTTACTTTGAATTATTTGTAAAACTTTGCTCTTTGCTATTTTATTGTATTTGTCTATATTTAATGTATTTATTATGAGACCTCTGAACACTCAGTTACTGTTTAACTGATGTTAGGTGGTCATAGGTATATTAGTTGTTGAGGTAAATTTTAAGTAAGTAGCTTTTCATAATTCAGTTTGTAGATACAGCATTGTTTTGATCCGATATGTTTATTGATGAAAGGTTCTCCATATCTTCATATATTTATCTTCTAAAATTCATGGCACATATTCAAGATTGTTTTATAGAGATGTAAAACTGACCAAAAGCTAAAGCTGAATAAGGAATGTTATCCTGTAATTAAATTTCAGAATGTAAACCTTTTAACTTTTTATGTTGAGGTTGCTGATCATTATTTCATTTTTAATTCTAGTGGGGTCATTTCAGGAAGTTAAACGTTCTAGTCAGTCAGGAATGATCCCTGGATCCTGGCAATATAAAATGAAACTTCAGCTGATTTTAAAATCTTCAAAGGCTTACTATGTTCTTTCCGATGCTGCTGTGAGTCTTCAGAAATATGGGAGAGCATTACGGTACATAAGATTAGCTTTACAGTGTCATGGTAAGTTGGACTATTTTTATTATATTTTTCTAGACATATAATTTTTTTTTATATCCACTTAAGCACTCATGATTTCTTTATATCTGGGAATTTTAAACTGGCTGCTTCAAATACAAGTTATTTTTCTTCTTTAGAGTATGGTTAAATTAATTATTTCTAATATCTCTGGACATGGTCAGTCACAAGCCAACCACTTATCAGCAGGCAGATTGGTGAGGTTTCTTCCTGCCCCCCATCCTCAGCCTCCTAGGATGCTCAGAACCACCCCAGTTTACCTTTCAATGAAGGGGGGGAGGAGCAGGGTAGTAAAGCATTAAGTTATAACCCTGACACCATTTTTATTATCTAAAAATGTCTAAGGAAATTGTGTGGAGGCCAGGGGTTCCTCATTCCATAAAGATGATGCTAGCAGTTTGCTTTACAGCATGCTGTCTTCTGATTTACGTTTTTTTAAATCAAATCATAACAAAATCAAGAGAAGCAAGATGATGGGCAGCTTACTGGTATCTACCATCTCTTTTACCCTGAATATAAATGTAGATCTAGGCAATTATATTTAGTATTAGCAAAAGACTGGTAAACACAACTCTTCTTAGCACTTGTAATTTATATAAGCAAGTTTGATGTTAGAAGCTAGATAAATGGATTTTTATTCCTTGAAGCTGCCAGAAGAGGCTAGATTGGTAAATTCTTCATACTGTAGCTTCCTAATAAAAAGATATTCTAAGTTCCAGTTCACCAATATCCTTTCTGATTTTTTCCCAATTAGATGCATATTGCTGCCTCTTCATGAACATCCTTTCTGAAGTACTCCTGTTTCTTTGTCAGAGTTTAACTCTTTGTGGTGATATTCAATTAATGCTGGCCCAGAATGCAAACAATAGAGCTGCATATCTTGAAGAATATAACTTTCAAACAAAAGAAGATCAGGAAATACTGCATAGCCTTCATCGAGAGTCCAGCTGTCAAGGTAATCACAACTGCTGTCTTTGTGTAACAATGTGTCAAACAGCTCTCCAAATCAAAATAATTAATAAAAAAACCACGCTCTTTTCAGCAGCAATATATTACCCTTTGAGTCATCTTGGCAGTAAAATCTCTGGATCCAATTAAACAAATGAGCAGTAGCTGTGCATTTTATCATGTGATATAAGGGCTTTTTATTTAATATATTTTTCTTTAAACAATTTATTGGACAAAAGCATTGTTTTTTGTTTGTTTTTGCTTGACCTCTAGCCAGTGTCATTATGAGGGACATGCATGCTCCCTGTAATTGCCAGAATAGTTTGACTACAGGTAGTCCTTGTTTAGTGACCGTTTGCACTTATGATGGTAATGAAAAAGTAACTTTATGACTAATCCTCACATTTACGACCTTTGCAGGACTGTAAAGTGAAGGAAAGCTGAAGTAAGATCATAAGGGTAATCCGCATTTAGCAACCACTTCATTTAGTGACTGTACACAGTTACAACAGTGATGAAAAAGTAACTTTATGACCAATCCTCACATTTACAACCTTCACAGGTCTGTAAAGGAAAGGAAAGCTGAAGTAAAATCATAAGCACAATTACAGTTTCACTTAACAACTGAGTTACTAGTCCCAGTTGTGGTCACTAAATGAGGACTACCTAAACACTCAACAGATGTAGAGCACATAATAGTAATCCAAATAGAATGTAATGATGATGTATAAATGATGCTAGTTTAAACTTTTCTAGTGCAGTTGGTGTTCGTCTTAGCTATTTAAACAAACTTCTGACTGCCAATGAAATCTGGATGTCCAGGTTCTGATCTGTATTCCAACTGATCAGTAGCATATCTTAATTAACCTTTCATTTGTTTGCCCATATCAAATTCATAACGGATAGTAGACATTGATTTAGAACTTGAGTTTCTATATTTTGCTTCCTTGGGTCTAAATGGAAAGAAGAGAAAGAGTTGGATACAACTACACAGCTTCCAAGAACTGAAGCCACCTTAAAACTTGGTTGCTAGGTGCAACATAAGGATATCTGTTGACAATACTGAAAGTTACTGAGAGGTTCAGCAAAACCTAGAGGGACATACTCCCAATATTAGTTTGCAGTGTATGTTGGCCACTGAGTTGGTCAAAGACTCCATTGCATATCAGATTGGAATGGGTCTAAACAATGAACTTTAGCCAGAAATATCTAGAGCTGAATGCCATTGTATACTTTTGTCTCCTTGCTCAAGAATGAAATACTGGCCTCAGTACATAACAGCTTTTACAAACACTGATAATGTTTTTCATATAAAAGTGATGTTGAATTTATAACTAATAGCTGATTCCAGAATCCATCTTAAATAGTTCTCCAACAGCTTTTTATGTACTTCCTTGTGTGTGTGTGTGCGCGCGCGTATGTGTGTTTAATTTAGAAATAGCTATATAGGAAGCATTTGGCAATTTATTATGTTAATTTTTTCTTGTAGTATTTTCTTGGGCTACTGACTGGTCTACCGATTTGGAATGCCAACTTTCAGTCAGCTGCAAATGTTATGAGGCAGCTCATGAAATTTTGCTTTTTAGTAATTTAAAAGAGCAGAATCCAGAGCAATATACACAAGTGGTGAAGAGAATGGGCAATATTCAAAATGAAATTGGAGTATTTTATATGAACCAAGCTGCTGCTTTACAAAGCGAAAGAGTAGGCAAGTATATTTATATACATGTGTGTATTTTTTTTTTTTTTAATCCGTACTCAATCGTTACCAATTCTGCAGCGACTGCCTGGACGAGTCCCTGCAGTTTTCAAGACAAGGTGTTTCGGAAGTGGTTTGCCATTGCCTCCTTCCTAGAGCAGAGCCCAGCTGGCAAGCGCAGTAGGCGGGGTTTCCATTGCTTCGTGCCTTTTTCAGGCGTGCGCGGCTTCTGCGTTACTGGCAACTTGGTCCTGTCTCCCATGCAAGCGCTGCCAGCATTTTCCTCCCACCGGGGCGAGAGTACCCATTTATCTACTCATGTAAGTTTTAGAGGTGCTGGGTTGGGAGGAGGTGGGGGGGGAGGAG